CAATTCAAACCTTGATTTTGAATAGGTTTCTTAAAGTCATTCCAAAACCAATAGAGACTAATCTACTGCACTTAAAATAAATTCAAGTTAGTCCTCTAATCTTATCCACCAATTTTATAATAGTATCATATCTTATCCTATGCTGCAATTTTAATGGATAGAGATTTGATTTTGAACTTCATCCATAAATTATTGTCTCTTGGATATTAATCTAACAAATCTCAAGGATTTTTTTAATATATTTCTATCCTTAATTTTATCTTAGAATCAACCATATTTTTTAAAAAAATCTAATCTACCTAATTTTTAATGATTTATGGCCATTCCAAAATTGTAAAACCATTGTTGCATCTCAATAGTAAAAATTATTAATAAATTTTATTTTTTTAATTTTTAAAATTTAAAAATTTAAAAAAACTTCGAGTTTTTTATAAAAGTCTTTTTTAAATATCTCAAATATTTATTGAATCAAGATGATAGAATATTAAATATAAAATAATTATTATCTAATTTTTTATCATATAGTTGTATTATAAAATATTAGTATATATTATCAACTCTACTTGAGAAAATACTTTGTGTATCTAAATTGATGGACATTGAAGTAGATTCATTAATGAAAAAATGTGTCTTGATTGTTACAAAAGTAATGTGCAATTACTAAATTGATAATCCAAACAAAAAATTGAGAGGGTGAAAGATGTTGGAACAAAGCCATTGATCAAGCAATAATAAAAATACCACAAATGACTCCATAAAAAAATGCATATATATTTCTATGGTTGGCTTAAAATACTAGATTAGACTAGGTATATTTTTTAGATTTTTTTTTAAAATAGTAAGACTAAAATGCCTATTTTTATAATAAAGATTGAGATACATATAGAAGTAATATTTTTTTAATAAAAGAAGAATATTAAAAAAATGATGTTGTTTCAAAACACATAATAGCAAGTTTCTTTTAAATGTTGTGGCAATGAGACCAAAATACTTAAGCAAGACACATGTTTATTCTTGTGATGATCAATTTTTCCAAGTCATTTGTTTCAACCAACTTGAATAAGATTAGATCACTCTTACATAAGAGATTTTTACTATCTTCTATCTCAATGCATTCTCTCTCTTCTTTCTTAGATGTACTATCTTATAACTTTTTAGGTATATTAACTTCCAACTCCAAGGACCTATAATCTAGCTTACTACTTCTTTTGGACTATACTATTGCTAGTAAGTTTTTACAATTACCTGTAGATAGTGCGTCAACTCTAATTCTTACTTTTACAAGACTTTATACCTCCTATGTCTCTTATTTAAGTAGTCTTTTGGAAGTACATCAAAAAAATTGTATCTAATATAATAAAAAAAACTCTCTTCCTTCTTAATCATTAGTGGTTATAAGATCTTGATTATTGCCATAGTTCTTTTTTGTTAATGTATTTTACTCACATATGACTTCATACCTCCCTTGATTTCTTTATTTGCATCCTTCAAAAATATAGTAAAGACTAAATAGGATGATTCTTTTTATTGTACTTATTGTGCAACTATATAATTATGTTGTTTCTTTTCAAGACTTTGAAAGATCTTAATTAGAGAAAAGATATTTTTAGTCTTTTTTTAAAATTTGGTTTTCTTTGAACACCATAAATTATCTCCAAATTGAGTAGCAAGAAGCACAAATCATCTTATATGCTTCTTTCTTTGAATCTATATGTTGTAATGAGAATATTATATTATTTCAAGATTGCTACTAGTTGATAAGATATTGAATGCAATGAAGGGTGTGGAAAGAAATATTCGTTGCATCTTCTTAAGTATTTCATCATTCATTGCTATTAAATTATTAAATAACAATACTTCCCAAAATGATGAATGCTTATATTTAATATTGGATCACTTCTTTCATTTTTTAAAAACACAAAAATCCATTTAATATTCCTTCAAGTTTGAATATCAAAAATAAAGTTGATTAATGAAGGAAGAAGGATTTACAATATTAGTTCCTTACAAATATTATATATATAATAACTACTTAATTATATATCTACAAAATATATACTGGCTAAATTTTGTCAATTTGATATTTATATTATTATTTTTTGCTTAAATCATACAAACTCGTATGCAACCAATTGAGGTTTTTAAAAACTATTAACTTCTCACTTGGCATAGTTACTATCATAATTATAAATTAGTAGCTACACTAATTTCTAGACTATTGCTAATCTATTCTTCATTGATATCTATCTATCTTCTGCATAATTTGGTTATTTTTAATATTTTTAATTCTCATAAGTGATTATTTTGACCTCTATGCAAAATCTTTTCTATTAAAACATGTTTTTTATTGATTATTATTTGATTTAGATTTAAGTGCTCTTATCTTTAATTGAATCTAGAACCTTAGCTATGACAAAGCCGAGATCATTGATTTGTGGCATGTTATTGAGCATTTTTTTTTTTTTTTTTTTTTTTTTTTTTGGTCAATACCATTACAAATAGTCTTAAATTTTCATCTAAAAGAAAGGTGGATGTACAAATCTCTTCTTTTTCTTCTACCTTTATTACTAGATTTTAGTTTTATTCTATTTTTTATTTATTTATTTATTTTTTTTTTTTCCTTAGGACTCTCTTACAAGTTCAATAATAATATTTTGCAAAGTTGTTTTGGATCCTTTTGTGCATCCACCTCACCAAAACAAGGGATTGAAGAGAGGATTTTTACTACACCCTCTATTAGCTCCTTTAAGCTCTTATATGTCTTAGCCACTTAGATTATATAGTGGGCAACAAATTGAACTATTTGATTTCATCTTTTTTGACATAGAAAGGTTTGTAAAGTTTGATCTCAAAGTTCGTAACCTTTTAGGTTAACTTTGAGATCAAACTTTATGAATCTTTACCTATATTCATTTTCATTTTATCTTTTTGGACTCTCTATTTCTTTGATTAATAACTTTAGCACTTTAGTTAGGTCTTCAGAGATGCCAAGCAATGTTTCTTTGGTTAGTATTCCAAGCTATCTAAGGTAAATGTCCCAAAGGTGATCTAAGGTTACTTGAATAGCATCAAATAACTTGGTCAATGTCACCTCTTCTAGGCCTAATTAAGACTATTTTGTAAGTTTCTCAAATTTTGGAAACAAAGTAGCCTCTTTCTTGCTCATTATAGAGACAATACTACTACTTATATTGGTTTTACTTTGGCAATTTGCCTATCTTTTGATTTAGATGTCCTTGTCTTTGTAATCATGTAGATCAATTTTTTGTAGGTACCATGCTATTTTCTTTTATTTCCATTCTTCATTTTCTATAACCATTTAGAGTCAATAATATACATGTGAGCCTTGGTTCAATATCCTAATAAAAAATCCATTTGTGATAGTTCTTAAGTTTGAGTCATTTTTTAGTTTGAACTTCTTAAGATTCTCAGTATTTTTTTATGAGATTCTTACTTTTTTTTATTTCCTTATTTTTCATTTGCGGCTAAACTCTTTTAATCCTACTTAATCTAACCCACTTTATAAGACTATCCTATATTTTTAAAATATGTTAATAATTAATCTTTTTTTAGTATAAAAATCATATTCTATAAAAATCATTCAACTTATCATATATCTACTTTATTTTAACTTAATTGACTTGAATCTAATTCATTTATATAATTAATGTAATTATAAAAAATATTATCTAATTAAGGTAATTACCTAAAATTATATAGGTCCAGAGATAAAAAAAAAAAAAAAAAAAAAAAAAAAAAATTTAGACACTAAAGAATTAAGTACGTGGAAGATAGTAATTAATTCTATGATATCAATATGGTTTTTTTAAATGAATAAATTTTACATTTTGGTTCTTAATTTAAAATGATTTGATTCTATATTTTTTCTTTAATTTATTAATTTTTTTGATTTTACATTATAAATTCTAAAACAGAAATTTATTTTTCTACTAGATATTTTATTATTATATATTATGTTTAATATCTATAAAATTCATAAAAATTTAAGTAAGTAGATTTAGTTACTTGATAGATTATGTCATTAAAATACTTAATATTCTATTATTAGGTTTTATTAAATTATTTTGAGTTTTCTTTGTGTAAAATAAAATTTATAAAAAATAATTTTAAATTTAATTTTAAAATTATATCATTATTTCTCAAACCATCTTTTCTTGATCATAAATTATATAGAATAATCATATTGCAATAATATGGATATAACACTTTTGGTGTTGCATTTACTACAAAATTCAATTAATTTTTTTTCACATACTTATTAAAACAATTTTGTATACCTATATTTTATTTAAGTTTTTATTTATTTATTTATTTAAAGGAAAAAATAGATATAAATTTAATAATAATAACTACCATTTTTTGTCAATTTAAAAAATAGTTGACATCTGTTCATGCATATATATATATATATATATATATATATATTTTATGACAATTGACAAAGAATTGATTACAAAACTTTCAACATTAAAAGACAAACTATTCAATGAGATGAGGATTATTTTTAAAGAATATTAATAATCTTCTACAACTTATGCTTAAAAAAATAATAAATTTAGCCACAAAACAGCATAACTACTATGTTTTAAAGTAAATAAAATGAAATTTGCAAACTAGTTTTAATTACATCATGATAACAAGAACAATAATATTTTATATAGACAAGAAATATTATAATTCTCTTTTAATAAATAATACTCATAATGTGTGCCATGTATATGTATAGTATTATTTGATTACAAATTTTTTTTATTTAAACTTGAAAATATTTATTCTTCGATTTACGAGGTAAAAGTCACGTTTAACATGATTGTTCAAACTTTTGGAAGCCAGTTAAGAACAACGAAAGAAAGAGAAAAGGTGTGCAGTTGCGTTCACACACGGTTCAGCACGAGTGAATGAATGAGAAACGGAAGGATGAATGAGAAACTGAGGGATGAATATGGTTCAATAGTACTCCAAAACCCTAAACCCTCTGCTCTTCGGTAAATCCAAGCTCCCAAGCTCGGCGGTTGGTCGCATCCGCAAACGCGACTGAATTCATGTGCACGATTTGCTACCTGGAGTTTGTGAGGCGCATTTGTTGATAGAATACGTGGATTGTGGGTGGCGAAAATTATTTAGGGGTTTAGGGTTTCGATTGTGGGAGGAAGGGAATGGCAGGAGTGATGGGTTTGCGCAGAGCTGGGCAAGCCGTAGTAGCACGTCTAGTTACCAGGCAGTCGTCGTGGTCATTGCTGGGAGGTGCTCGAGGAGGTGCATTACACAGTCTCTCCTCATGGTCATGTAGTCACGAAAACTTGTCTAACTCCCCAGCGCGAGGATTGCAGGAGGCGTTGGCTGAATTCAAACACTTGGCAGCCCCCTCGCAATGCACTAGCCTTGTGCAAGAAGATCAAACTATGGCTATGCTCAGTCCTCTTGGGTGGCCTTCAAGCATTCACATCGAAAATGGTAAAATTTCTACATCCATGTGTTGCGGCTTCAATTTTTAGAGAAACAATTGTCTAGCGTGACTGTCTCAAAATTTGGTGATTAAGAGTCTCATATAGAAGCATATAATGACGGAAGAGATTTATGGCAGAATTTTTTTTCTCGAAATTGTTCGTCGAGGATCGGAAAAAAGAAAAAAAGGGGGGAATTGGCAAAACACTTAACCTGTATTATTTGGATTTGTGTCCAATTTACCTTTTACAATATCGACGGGTGAGCTGTTTAGAACAGTGCTTGTTATGGGAGAACTGCTTTTGCATAAGTTTGAGTACCTAGACGTAGCAAATGCGATAGATCGGTTCTTAATTTAATGCCTATTGAGGTATATTACCCATGTGAGTCTTTGGAAAGGGCTGTAGAATTGTCTCATGCGAGGTCTATGCTGTATTCTCATCCTTAATTCACGAAGAGTCTTTTGTTTGCGAATGGAAACTTTTTTGTCCAAAGCACTGCTTTCAACATGTTGTGTTGATTCCAAATGTGTTTCTGCGTGTGCAGTTATCTGCCCAAGTATTGATGAAGAAGCTAGGTACTCAATTTTTTCTTGAACTGAGCTTGTAATCCATTGCATCGACTGGCGGGCTATTGGGCACTTCGTAGCAGAGAATGAACACAGCACCGTGTGGCGTCGCATGTTGCAATGGCTTGATCCTGCTGTATATCCTGCTTGCTACAAACGTGATGTTCTGGAGTGCATGTGGCTGACTAGTTACTTTCGATATTTTTTTTTCACAGCCCAATGTTGATGGCAACGAAGCGTACTTTTCAACCCAGCACTATCAAACGCAAGCGCAGGCATGGTTATTTGGAGAGGTACCGCGTGCTCTTCTGTCCCTTCCTTTCTTACCCAAATGTATTTTTCATCTACATATTGAGTGGAAAGCAATATGTACACGTTTCACTTGTCGATGCAGTATTAATTATGAGATGTCTATTGCAGAAAATCTACTGTTGGAGGCCGCAGAGTGCTTGCTCGCAGGCTTGCTAAGGGGAGAAAGAAGCTATCAGCCTAGAAATACATCTTGAGCTTTCGTTTCTGTGTGTGTCTCGGTTTGAAATATATCATTTGGCTCACCCTGTAGGGTTAAGGGGTGAAAAACTTGGTTTCAAAAACTTCGTCCTCCACATTAGGCGGATGAATTGAAGAACTGGCTCCATTCAGGAATATCTAGCTGTCCATGTTTTTCTCATTTCTTGACTGATTTATCAAAGAATGCATTGGCAACGACACGACACCAGTGGTTTCACACCTCTTAGTCATGTGATGCATGTGAAGGATAACGCTAGCTCTTCATCAGTTGGGACTCAAGAACATAGGTATTTTTATCCATGTACTCCTTACCTGGATTTTTGCATCTGTAACACAGGAAATGAATGATGTGGCTCGAATAGGGAAATTACGTATTAAGTGTTGTGATTGCTGCCCTAAAGTTGACGATGAAGTTTTTGCTGTGGGAGAATCCTAACCTAATGGGTTCTAGTGTATCGTCTGAAAGTTGTGCAATAATTCCTTTGATGTGATTTGAAAGCCACATGAGTTTTGTGGCTGTAACAGGTAATGTTTTTAAGTCATAGAAGATTAGGGTTAAGAATGCCCTCGAACACTGTCATTCGGCCAACCTGCGCAAACTGAGTTCCTTCATATTAAGGGGTCCTGTGCATAGCGCTCTTGATTCTCCTTCTCAAAGATGCGACTAGGTTCAAATTGTGTCATGCAGTCAAAACTTGTTGTTTCGACACAACAACGAATCTTGTGAGGAGTTTTTTGTCATGTTTCTTCAATGGGTTTACAAAATACAAATAGTAAACAAAAGAATTAGGAAAGTAATCAAGGATGAAATACTTATGATTCATTTGAAAAATGAAGGTAACTCTGTATGTGATTATAACATTAAAAAATTATGGGTTAACGTATACATGACCAATGCAGAATATCACAAATGTTAAAAAAATGTCATTATACTTGATAGTCATCATTACCGTTAGAAGTTAAAGTGAACTGGAAAATAATATCGTCAACATTTTTTTTAAAGAAAAACGGTTTTCTTTTCTAAATTATTAAAAGTTTGCAATATCACAAAATTTTGCAACTCAATGAATGATTGGAGAAGAATCAGAACAAATTACATCAACATATAATAATATAAGTGTGTTTGACTTATACAGCATGATGAAAACAAGGCTAATAATCTGAAAATGTTATTATCATAGGATCCACGAGAAAAAAGTTATGATCATTTGAGGACAATGAAAAAAACTTTAGTTGCAACTTGCTCAGATTTATTTGGATGTAAATGAACATAAAAACTAACAAAATCCAATTATTATTTAAATCCAGATAGTTATTTTCAACAAAAATTATTTTTCTAAATATATAAATATTAATATATTATATCATTTAATGTTATTTAATATTTTTTAAAAAATCAAACCATGTCATATTGTTATAAATAAATGTGATAGTAGATTTAATGAATGTTAAATACAAGCAAATTTAATTTATTAAGTTGTTAAATTATAATTGTGTACATTATATTACATTAGAATAGTATTATTACAGTCAAAAATTATTATTTGCATATGGTGTTAAATACACATGAGTGCAGCAACACATATGGGACAATAAAAGATTCTATAATGATTTATGAAATTTATAACGTGTTTATTTTATAGTCTATGATTAGATAGTTTATATTTTTTAATTATCATTTTATTAAAATACCTTATTAGTATGTATGGAAAATAATTTTAAATAACTAAAATAATTGCAATAGAATAGAAAATTTTCAAAGATGTCCAAATATTTTACAAAATAAAAATTACTAAGTTAATAAATTATTATGTAAAGTTTGCTTGTCTACCATGGAAGGTCTTTACACTACTAGCTTCCTTTCTAAAGCAGCTATTTAACCTATTTTGTAGAACCTTAAAGTTCAAAACTCTAAACTTAACTTTTCCATGTCTAATTAGATCTTAATCATATCTCTACTAGTCTAAATTAAATAATTTATTTCATGCTAGGTCCTGATCAGACCAATTCTATTTTCTATCTCCCTTACCACTGCTGGTTTCTTACTACCGGTTCACCCATTGTATTCTTGTCTAATCTGAATTTGGATCAATAGTATTTTTGATCTATCTAACCGGTTAACTTGTTAGTCTATTACCTACATGTTAACAATTACTAACCAAATATATATATATATAATTTTGTAACACTATTTATTTTTTAATGAAATTTATGACAATTTAAAATTTTAACGTGATAATTAATTCTTAGCAACTTATGTAAATGATGTTCTATTAAGCATTTTATGTTTATATTACCATGCGGTTTAAATTGATATTTTATTTTATTTTATTTATAATGATACAGGTTTCTACATGGTCTCTACATGGTTTCTATATTATCTTATTTTGTCTGCATGCTTGGTAGGTGCTCTTTGTCTTGTCAATTCTAGATTTCTGTTTTTCTTGCTTAGTGTATCTATGCACTGATCTCTGAAGTCAAAGTGTTGCCGGAAGAAGCCCTCCATTGAATTGTTGTCGGTGTAGTGGAAGTTATAGAGCTTCTTTAGCAAAAAGAGCTCGATCATCACTCTTGCTGGCTTGTGCACTTCAGCCAGCTTCTCCCACATCTCTTGCTCGCAATGACATTTCCGGATGTCGGTTAAGCTGGCTAACCTACAAATCGGGGGGAGCACAAAATTAAGGAGGATATTAACTAGACCTACCAGGATTTCACGTTGAAGGCCGGTGAAGATGTACAGAAGGTCGTTATCAACTCAGACGACTGCGTTGATTTCGAGCGCATTGATGTGGGCGAAATTGATGGTAGGTTAGGGGTTAAGGGAGTGCCTCACAAGCAGTTCTATTATAGTACAAATGCGCTGCCTTCCAGATGGCATGGAACCTTCGTCAGCTAGCTTGATTTGGTCGATCGTACGTTTCGGTGGGGGTGGTTATAGGTGTCGGCTTACCGCTGGTCTTTGAAGTTTTCTATCCAGTCATACTGCAGCATTGGTCTAGAATCAAAGACCTGTTTTCTAGCCCTAGACTTCAACTAGTCGATCTACATGAACTGGTTTGGGGAAGCGGTAATGCATGCCAACAACACTCATCGCAATATGAAAATAACATGATAGGCCCCTTGCTTCTCGTGTTAAAGTACGATAAGACTTCTACTCAGCATTCTCTTTCTTCACTCCCGCTTGAATCGAGAACCCATTCCAATCTACTTGAGACACATTGCGTGTAGATCCGATCCGCCAGGGCGTGCCGTGGATCACATCACAGCCAATGGCAAAGGCTAGCAACCCAGCCGTCACTTCTGGACTGCAACAGTGGCTACGCTTTCTCGCTGCCCCAACACCAAACCACCGCTTTAATATTCACATTATTTCCTGTTTCGTTGTCGACTCTGTCTGTGCAGGCGTACCTATACTATCCACTCAGCGCCACACACAGTGACAAGGTCTCATCCTCGATCAGCCGAGTCTCACAACACATGCTCCTCATCTCGTGGTTGACAAGCATGAGGTTTCTGACCGTAACATCGATACAACACAGGGAAAGAGCTCAGATCCGAATGCCAGTGAGCAGCAGTGATTCCATACGACCCACAGATCACATGCCTCGACGTCGAATGGTTTCAGGAATCGAGAGGTGGGTGCTCGAGACTCATCAACCATGCTGATTCACGTCGAGATAGGTCGCAAATCCATGCGGAATTCTCAACTTGATGCAAAGTATTTTTGTCAAATTGATGTGCCATGTTTGTATTGTATCTTCAACGATCCCACTGGGACCATGGTTTGGTCGCTTGTTTGGACTCAGTTAGAGTTCGACAGGGCTTGGATCATGGAGTGATAGTGTATTAGACATCAAGGTTGTCCTCAATGAGACGGTGAATGGGAGATCACATGATAGTGTATTAGACAATCAAGGTTTCAATTGAATATTGATGGTATGTTTGAGCTGAATTTATTTCATTTCTTATTTTGAGTTCTTTTTCCTTTGTGATGAATGTTATGCGAGTCTCTCAAGTTGTCTCGGTGGCATATTGAGTGATGAATTGAATGACAACTTGATTTAATTGGATGGATTGTAATTCTTGTAACATACGTCATAGTAATCCATTTGTATATTTTTATGTGTCATTTATGGGAGCTCCAGATTCCATCTACACCGCAATCGTGATTGCACCCTTGTATTTTGATGTTGCTATCGAGCCCGCCACAATGTCGTTCTCCGCTGCAGCACCGACACAGAGTTTCACGTTGACGGTGTCACCAAACGCGACCGCGTGGGTTCCAGCAGGGGTACCGCATTGCCATGGCGTGGTACAGTGGACGGATGGTGTGCCCGACTGTCTCTATGTTTTATTACTCCCAGATTGTGCGCACAAAAGTCGTGTATTGTAACCACGCACATCAATGCCATCAGCGGCCGAAGTCGGTCCATCGGTGCCTCGGGGTGAGAGTTGAAGGATTCTCGAACATCCGAGCCAGATGAATGCGAAGATCACTTGGTGCAAAAGCGAAGAGTCCGTCTGCTCTCCTAGACACCAAGAAATGCAGTTCTACCTTTGATGTCGAGTAAGCGTCCTTGATTTTCGTGCTTACTGCAAGATGAAGAGCCTTTCGTGTGTGCAGTTGTAGTTTAGGTTGGCCAGTGGTCTATGGGGATACTTGTACCGAACCAGGCGGGCCAGGGGGCACTTCGACAACTTCTGCTCAGTCATGCGAATGAGAGTCGAACTAATTTTAGGCAAGGTATCGATCAATGCTGCGGACGACAAGCAGCGGTATGTAAGCACTTTTCTCTTAATGAATTGATCAAACGTGCATATTGAAAGTGATGAGGGACAGAAAACGCGAGCCCCTTTGTGATTGACAGAGCATGAGCTCAATCGCCTCGATGGCAGAATTTTAATGCGCACCGTGTAATCGTAAGGGCTATGCATTGATTCTCTCCCCGCTCCCAAGCCAGGTTAACGTTACATGGGAAATGGGAAGAGATGGTTATGAGGGAGCAAATGTGTTGTGTTGTTAATCCAGCAATTGAAATTTGTGATTTCAAGAGGACAAATGGTGGTCTCCATGATGGTAGACTGGAGGTGATAAGAGACGAGGTTCACAGTTTGAAGTTCACATGAATAAGAGTAGAGCATAAAATAAAAGGGAACAAGGAAATATTGGGATTTGAAGCAATGAGTCAAGAGTCTGGAATCTGATGCAGTTTCTAG